TGGCGTCCAGATCCAGCCACTGTTGAAACTGATCAGTTTCAGCAGCGGCTGGACGCCAGTTCCGACTTACATACAGATTCAACTTAAGAACAAACCTACAGTCCCTATCTTGTACGTAACCCAGAGACTGCCTGTATGTTGCAAGGTGCCTTTGCAGAAGTTTTTCCATTGAGTGTACAGATATTGCTAGACAGGTGTGGGGGTGGGAGGGTGCCTTCCCACAGCAGCAGCAATAAACAAACACCTTGAAACCTTTCACTTCTAGGGACGAAAAACACTATGCAGAAATAGGGATCTTAGTGCAATGCAGCCCTATTCCTGCAGTCAAGAGACTACACGACAAACCTCCGCTTTAAAAAAGACTTTCTAGCCCTCTCGGTTCCAGAATGAAGTTCGAAAACAAAGAACCCTAAAGACACAGAAACCAGAAGGCAAACAGCCAAACACTCTTTTTAAAACATCACTTCTGATTTTCAAGCCAGTCACGACTTTTTATTTGCCGGGGAGAGGAAGGGGGGAGCGGACGCGTCGGTGGCACTGAGGCAAAATGTCTCTGTGTGACAAGGGAACGGCCGGGGAGCTGCCCGCGGGCGATGGACGGTGCCCAGGCTGGGTGAGACTCCTGAGCAGCTGCAGCAGCGCCCCACAGGGGAATGGGCCCCCGTTTGGGGGAAGGGCTGCGGGCCCCTCTGACGCCATCGACTGACCCAGTCCCCCAGGTGGGGCCTCCCCAGAGGCGGCCTGAGCGGGAGATGCGTGAGGGGGAGGGGGAGGGGTCAGCTGCCTCCCGCCTCCCCCTGACACGGCTCCTCACCTGGCGGGCAGCTCCAGGCTGGGTCCCCCGGGGGGCAGGAGGCCCCGGAAGTCGGGGTTGTCGTTCTGCTCGGTTCGCAGCAAGGCGAGCAGCGGGGGCCCATGGAAACCCAGCGCCTGGCGCAGCAGGTCCCGCTCCATCCCACCCGCGGCCGCTCGCGCAACCCAGCAACCGGAAGCTGCCGGGGGAGTAACCCGGAAGCAGAACCCATTATCATCCCGCCTCCGAGGAGGAAAGGAGCCGGGTGACAGAGCGAACCCAGCATAGCCCGCAAAAAAAACCGTCTCAGTCTCCGCGCATGCGCACCGCGGGAGGGCGGACGCGCCTTGAGGGGGCGGGGGAAGAGTGACGGGAAGGAGTAAGAAAAACTCCGCCCTCTTCCCCTCAGCCCAGCGCGCGGGGGGGAGAGCGAGCGGGCGAGCGAGGCGCGTCCAAGGTGGAATCCCCAGCCCAGTGAAGCCCCGCCCCCGGCTGCCGGCGCGGGGGGGAGGGGGATGGTCAAGGACAATCACCGCTCCCATGATATGAGCTGCGTCCGCACCACCCCTGCGTGCAGGGGGCCAGTTCTGGGCGTGCGCGCGGGGGGTGCCCAGGCACACCCTAAGGTCTTAAAAAGTGGCTTTGCGTTTTCATTTAATCATATGAGAGGCTCTTTTAGTGTTAGAGCATGGCTTGTTCTATTATGCAGTAAGCGCCGCATGTCGACGTATAGAAAGCCCGCGTGTCCTTTATGACTGAGTCTTCAATAAATGTTCCCCAATAAAAAATAAAATTCCCTGGGTGCACGCCCTATGAATAGTGATAGAAATGTCGCCGTGTTAGTCTGGTGTAGCTGAAACAAAATACAGGACTATGTAGCACTTTGAAGACTAACAAGATGGTTTATTAGGTGATGAGCTTTCGGGGGCCAGACCCACTTCCTCAGATCAAATAGTGGAAGAAAATAGTCACAACCATATATACCAAAGGATACAATTAAAAAAAAAAGAACACATATGAAAAGGACAAATCACATTTCAGAACAGAAGGGGAATGGGGGGGGGGAGGTAAATGTCTGTGAGCTAATGGTATTAGAGGTGATAATTGGGGAAGCTATCTTTGTAATGGGTAAGATAACCGGGGTCTTAGTTGAGACCCATGCGTAGAGTGTCGAATTTTAGCATGAATGACAGTTCAGAGGATTCCCTTTCAAGTGCAGATTTAAAAGGCTTCTGAAGCAGGATGCAGGTAATTAAGTCGTTGAGACAGTGTCCTTTCTGGTTGAAATGGCAAGAAACTGTTTTTTCTTTGTGATCCCGTCTAATATCTGTTTTGTGGGCATTGATCCTTTGGCAAAGTGTCTGAGACGTTTGTCCAATGTACAAAGCAGACGGACACTTTCGGCACATTATAGCATAAATTATATTTCTGGATGCGCAGGAATATGTATTCTTGATCTTATAACTCACTTGGTTAGGTCCAATAATGGTATCAGAAGAGTGAATATGTGAACAAAGCTGGCAACAGGGTTTGTTGCAAGGGAAGGTACCAGGGTTGGTATTAGTGTGGTATGTCCTGTGGTTGTTCGTAAGAATCATCTTGAGGTTCGGTGGTTGTCTATAGGAGACTATGGGTCCCAGAGCCTCTTGGAGTTTAGTATCCCTAATGAAGTGTGCTGTGCATGCTTATGCGCCTGGGGGAGCGCTAGGTGCCTGCAGCTCGGCTGACAGCAGGCTTCCCTGGGACTGGTGTAGTACCTGGTGCTCAGCTAGGCACATGACTCATCTGGGCTGAGGTACCATGCAGAGGCCCCACCGAAGGCCTGTTATGCTGAGTGCCATGTGCGCAAAACTAGGGTCCTACCAAGTTCATGGTTCATTTTGGTCAATTTAATGATCATAGGCTTAAAAAAATATTTATATTTGAAACTTCACTGTACTGTAACTGTAGAGGCTTTTGATATGGTCTCCCACAATATTCTTGCCAGCAAGTTAAGGGAATGTGGATTGGATAAATGGATGGTAAGATGGATAGAAAGATGGATAGAAGGCCGGGCCCAGCGGGTAGTGATCAATGGCTTGATGTCAGGATGGCGGTCAGTTTCTAGCGGAGTGCCCCAGAGTTCAGTTCTAAGACCCGTTTTGTTCAATATCTTTATTAATGACCTAGATGAGGGGATGGATTGCACCCTCAGCAAGTTTGCAGATGACACTAAGCTAGGAGGAGAGGTAGATACGCTTGAGGGCAGAGATAGGGTCCAGAGTGACTTAGACAAATTGGAGGATTGGGCCACAAGAAATCTGATGAAGTTCAACAAGGATAAATGCAGAGTCCTGCACTCGGGACAGAAGAATCCCAAGCATTGTTACAAACTGGGGACCAACCACTTAAGTAGTAGTTCTGCAGAAAAGGACCTGGGGGTTCAGTGGATGAGAATCTGGATGTGAGTCAACACTGTGCCCTTGTAGCCAAGAAAGCAAATGGCATATTAGGTTGCATTAAGAGGAGCATGGCCAGCAGATCCAGAGATGTCATTATTCCCCTTTATTTGGCTCTGGTGAGGCCACATCTAGAGTATTGTGTCCAGTTCTGGGCCCCCCACTACAAAAAGGATGTGGACGCATTGGAGAGGGTCCAGTGGAGAGCAACCAAAATGATTAGGGGGCTGGAGGTTTAGTCTGCAGAAGAAAAGAGCGAGAGGGGATTTGATAGCAGCCTTCAACTTCCTGAAGGGAATTTCCAAAGAGGATGGAGAAAGGCTGTTCTCAGTGGTGACGGATGGTAGAACAAGGAGCAATGGGCTCAAGTTACAGTGGTCTAGGTTGGAGATTAGGAAAAACTATTTCCCTAGGAGGGTGGTGAAGCACTGGGATGGGTTCCCTAGGGAGGTGATGGAATCTCCATCCCTAGAGGTGTTTAAGTCTCGGCTTGACAAAGCCCTGGCCGGGTTGATTTAGTTGGGATTGGTCCTGCCTAGAGCAGGGGGCTGGACTTGATGACCTTGTGAGGTCTCTTCCAGCTCTATGGTTCTATGATTCTATGTCCTGGGCTAAAAGGGAGTGTGTGTGTTTGGGGGGGGGAGGGGACAGGGGACGGTGATTTCAGCATTGCTACCCTTCTGCATTGCTGCTGGTGGCAGTGCTCCCTTCAGAGCTGGGTGGCTGACTAGGAGCCCAGCTCTGAAAGAGGCACCACCATCAGCATCCTTCAGCTGCCAAAGCATGGTATCACTATCCTTACTTCTGGGCTGCTCTCCTCAGAACTGGGCTCTTGGTTAGCAGCTGATACTTCCTGGCTGCCCAGGTCCAAAAACAACAGTGCAGAGTAAGGGTGGTGTGGTACGGTATTGCCACTGTTATTTCTGCATTGCTTCTGAAGGGGCGCTGCTTTCAGAGCTGAGTAGCTAGAGAGGCAGTTGCTAGCCAGGTATCAAGACCTGGAGGCAGCACATAAGTAAGGGTGGCAATATTCCCCCTTCTCCTGGCAACCCCACCTTTCCCTTGCAACTCCATTTTGGGTCAGGACCCCAGTGTTTCTCAAATTTGGTCTCCCTTGCGAAATCTATAGCGTTTAGGGTAAAAGTTAATAACATATCAGATTTCCAAAAGGAGACCACATTTTTCATACCCATGAATTGGGTGGGATCCTACACATAAAGCAAAGTCAGAACCAGAGCACGTAGAAATTCACACACATGCTTTTTTTAAATTATGTTCATATTCACAGGTTCAGGGCCTAAATATGAGATAACAGGTATGTCCAAGTTCCAAAAGATGAGGAGCAGAAAGTAATAGTTAATTATTAGCATAATAGATAGCTGTCATAACACATCAGTGGTATAGCAGATATTGTCTACAAACACAGAAGCAAAATCCTTACTAATGAACACTTTGTCTTACATTATGAAACAAAAAACAGGACTATGTAGCACTTTAAAGACTAACAAGATGGTTTATTAGGCGATGAGCTTTCGTGGGCCAGACTCACTTCCTCAGATCAAATAGTGGAAGAAAATTGTCACAATCATATATACCAAAGGATACAATTAAAAAAATGAACACATATGAAAAGGACAAATCAAATTTCAGAACAGAAGGCGGATGGGGGGGAGGGAGGTAAATGTCTGTGAGCCAATGATATTAGAGGTGGTAATTGGGGAAGCTATCTTTGTAATGGGTAAGATAATTAGAGTCTTTATTCAAACTTAAGTGTAAAGTGTCGGATTTAAGAATGTCCTCTGAACTGTCCTTCATGCTTAAATTCGACACTTTACACTTAAGTTTGAATAAAGACTCTAATTATCTTACCCATTACAAAGATAGCTTCCCCAATTACCACCTCTAATATCATTGGCTCACAGACATTTACCTCCCTCCCCCCCATCCGCCTTCTGTTCTGAAATTTGATTTGTCCTTTTCATATGTGTTCATTTTTTTAATTGTATCCTTTGGTATATATGATTGTGACAATTTTCTTCCACTATTTGATCTGAGGAAGTGAGTCTGGCCTTAATATTCTTATGAGAGCAGACTAAAAAAGCTAAAACAACCTTTCTAAAATACTGTTAATAAAGGTAAGCTGAAATGTAACTGAGAGAAACTGAATTACTGAAGGCAACAAACTTTCAACATCTTTGAGGCATGCTTTATCACACAGTAACACGTCTTTTCATTAACGCATCATACTCCCACGTTACTTTACAAAATGATCATGCTTTTGTGTTAGGCATTTCAAAACAACTGGCCTCAGAGTCTAGATTCTCTCTTGCTCATCACTTCCAATTAATACTTTTTAATCAAGACAATTTGATATCCCACTTTCTCCTGACCTTTCTTGCTTTCTTAGTTAATCATATCTCAGAATGGCATTCAATTTCCATGAAAAGGAAGTTGCTGAGGGAAGTTCACTAGAGGGTGCTATAAGACCACAGTGGTTAGTCTTCCCTTCTAAAGAAGTATGTACACAACTCCCTTTGTTTTTGAAATTTATTCTCCAGGTATTACTTGTCTCACATATAGAATCTGGTTTTGGTTTTTAGTGAGGTGCTACTTCTATGTCCGTTTCCCCCCCAGACTTGCTGCCTCTGATCCAAAGACATCAATGACTTGGTAAGGTTTCACACCAGGAACTGGTGGCTTCATTGATTAGAACTAAAACACCAATCTTACCAACTGCTCCAGGCAGACAGATCTCTGCCCTTGGACAGAGTCTTAGGGTATGTCTAGACTACATGCCTCTGTCGCCAGAGGCATGTAGATTAGGCTACCAGACATAGGAAAATGAAGCG